TTTCTTCACTACCCTGTCTACCTGCGACTCCACTTTCAAGGAACTATGAACCTGCACTCCAAGGTCTCTTTGTTTGGCAACACACTCCAGAACTTTAGCATTGTGTACAAGTCCTGTTCTGATTTGCCCTACCAAAGTGGAGCACCTAACATTCATCTAGATTAAACTCTATCTGCAACTCCTCAGCCCATCTGATCAAGGTCCCATTGTACTGAGGCAATCTTCTTCACTGTCCACTACACGACAAATTTTGGTGTCGTCTGCAAACTTATTAACCATACCTCTTATATTCACATCCAAATAATTTATTTAAATGACAAAAAGCAGTAGACCCAGCACCGATCCACGCGACACACACCTCTGGTCACAGGCAACCAATCCGAAAAGCAACCCTCCAACCGCACTCTGTCTCCTACCTTTGAACCAATTTTGTCTCCAAATGGCTAGTTCTTCCTGTATCCTACGCGATCTAACCTTGTTAACCAGTCTACCATGTGGAACGTTGTTAAACACCTTACTGAAATCCATATAGGCAATGTTCACAGTTTTGCCTTCATCAATACTCTTGGTCACTTCCTCAAAAAAAATTCAATCAAGTTAGTGAGACATGATTTCCCACACACAAAGCCATGTTGACTATCCCTAATCGGTGCTTGCCTTTCCAAATACATGCAAATCCTGTCCTTCAGAATGCCAACATCTCTGTCTAATTAGAGAGCAGTCCTATTAGACCAGTAAGACTGTGATGACCTTACCTTCCCTTATCTTTACCTTTGCAATGATAAATTGGCAATAAATGCTGGCCTATTTCTAATTGCCCTGGAGAAAGTGCTGTAGTCGAATTGGTGCAAGGTCAGTCAAAATAATGTTGGAGAAAGATTTCTAGTAGTTTGACCTAGGAACACTGAAGGAAGTATGAGAACACCTAATTTGTGATGGGGTATCTTAAAGGTAATGGGAATCCCTGGGGTCTGACAGTGTGCAATTTCCCATATTCATAGAAACATAGAAAACAGGAACAAGAGTAGGCCATTTGGCCCTATCAACCTGATCCACCATTCAATATGATCATAGCTGATCATTCAACTCAGTACACTGTTCCTGCCTTTTTCCCATATTCTTTGATCCCTTCAGTCCAAAGAACTGTATCCAGATTTTCCTTGAAAGTCTTCAATGTTTTGGCCTCAAGGCTTTCTAGTGCTAAAGAATTCCACAGGCTCACCACTCTGGGTGAAAGACACCTCTCCTCATCTCTGTCCTAAAAGATTTCTCCCTTATCCTTACACTGTGAACCCTGGTTCTAGACTCCCCAGTCATCAAGAACACCCTTCCTCTATCTACCCTGTCTAATTCTGTTTCTAGGAGATGCCCCCATGTTCTTCTAAACTCCAGTGAATATAGTTCTAACTGATCCAGTCTCTCCCCATTCATCAGTCTGTCCATCCCAGGAATCAGTGTGCTAAACCCCCTTTGCACTGCCTCCTCATTCAGAACATCCTTCCTCAGATAAGCAGACCAAAATCAAACAATACTCCAGGTGTGGTCTCACCAATGCCCCGTATAGTTGCAGCAAGACATTAGTGCTCTTGTACTCGAATCCTCTCGCTATGAAGGCCAACAGACCATTTGCCTTTGCACAAGGTCACC